CCTTCAGGCGGCTCCTCGGCGACCCAGGGGGATGCTGAGGAAACACTGTTTCAGGCTGACAGCCTGTCACTTTGACAACAAGCGGCCTGAGCACAGGGGACCGCAGTTCCCTAGGGAGTCTCAGTCCCCCATTTGAGGTCACCTGCATGTGGGCGTTTACAGCCCCCATGAGACTGGGTGAGGCAGCCATGTCTCCCCTCTGGGCACAGGGAGAGGAGGCGAGTGTCCACGGCCCTCCGTGAGCTCCTCTCCAGGCAGGGAGGGCCCTGAGCAGGCACTGTGCCCACGCTGCACCGCTGGGGGGCAGGGCACTGCTGTCTGGGCCTCTCGTGTCCCTCCACACACACTGAACCCCGAGAGCACCGCTCTCCTCTGCGGGCCTTCTCCTGACTCCCCCGCTTCCCTGAGTGTCTGACACAGCCTGGCAGGGTGACCCCGACTTCTCCTGTCCCCGCAGGCACCACCAGGGGGCGGTCCTTGCAGAGAGGGGGGTGGGCTTTTTTGCTGGGAAGGAGTGTTCGAGGGCCCCGTGTACTCACCATTTTGGCAGTTTTTGTGGGTGAAGGAGGACCTTAAAAACAAACAAACACACAAGCCAAGTGTTAAAGACAGAGGAAGCATGTCCAGGTCACAAATGCAGTTAACATGCAGGATGATCTGGCTGCGATGGTGCGGGCTGGGCGGTTCTGTCTGGCACCTCCTACGTGCCAGGCATCGCACACAGAGACCTCATTTCATCTCTGTGACAATCCTGAGGCATAAATGCTACTACCGTTCTACAGACGAGGTAACCAAGTTCAGAGAGAGTAGCACAACTTCCCTACCCCGCACGGCCAGTGCGGAGCAAGGCAGCAAAGTGGCATCCCGACTGCGCCCAACGCTGGTCGAGACCGGGGACCCTCCAGCCCTAGCAGAGAGGCTCTCCCCGAACCCTCAGCACCTTCTGCCTCACCACCCGAGGAAGAAACAAATTCGTTCAAGAAATGAGAATAAGGGAGGGAAACGCCCCAATGCAGTTACACTTCTCATGTGCCTCAAAAATGAAAACTAAAAGCCAGTGAGAGAGAAGCGTGGAGGCCAGATTTTATTCTTCCGAGCACCAGCCACGCTCCGGTGTGCATTTAAGGAAGCCCGTTAACATGGGAACGGGGTGTATAATCGCCCGGAGCAGTTCCTGTCGGCTGGGGACCTCGGAAAATAAAATCTTTATTTCTCTCACGTGAGCACTGTGGGGTTTAATGAACCTTTAAGGAGAGAGACTAAAGCTTAAGGTGGAAGCAAAAGCTGGCGTGACTGTTCCCACGGAACAGACGAGCGCACTGCCTGACCCTCCGCTCCAGCATCCCTGCACGTCACAGAGGGCCAGGCAGAGCACCAGGCCTGGAGAGAGTCCATTTCTCCCGTTGTCATCCACAGAGAAAACGAAAGGAAGAGGATCTATTTCACGTGAAGTAGCAAATGTGACTGCACGGCGTGGCTCTCTCCTCTCATTAAAGCCGTAAATCAGAGTTTTAAACGAATAGAGAGGGAAAGGAATCCAGCATGGACAGGAGGGAAACCATTAAAACTAAAGAATCTGCTGCCAAGGGTACTGGTTACAGATGCAGTCAGACAGAACCTTCCGGAACATGCCCACGAAGGCCCAGCTGAGTCTGCTGGGAGAAGAAGACCTCCTACGCCGCAGGAAGGACAAGCAACGGATGAGCATGTGTGAGCTTCACTCACCTCCTCGCAGGATGAGCAGGGGCACGTCCGCGCCCACTGGGAACTGCTTCAGCACCTCGACCACTTGGAGGTGCGTCAAGTTCTGCACGTTCTGGTGGTAGATTTCCTTAATGACGTCCCCCTTCTGGAGGCCCGGGCACCACTGACTGTCCAGGATCATCTTCACCTTCTGTCCGGTGGGGCTGTCAGCAATCGCAAACCCAAAGCCCTTAGGGCCCTTGATCAGAGGGACAGTCACGAGTTCGGGTTGGGAGCTGGCCGAGGATGCCATGGACGCTCGCTGCTCGCTCGCGTCCGACGGCCCGTTGAGACGGTCACCGACCAGGACCTGCCCCGGCTTTCCATTCTGGTCCAGAGCCATCGCCCCCGACTTAAACTCCTGAGTGTTCTCGCCCTTGGTCAGTGACTGTCCGTTGATGACGGGAGTAGCAGCGACCATGTCCACGGCAGGGTCTTCGTTGTCGTCCGGGAGCGGGTAACCGCGACACAAGGTGAGGTTTACGTACTGACTGACGGGCACCAGCTGGAACATCTGGACCACATCTGCGTGGGTGTGGCCCAGGACGCAGCTGCCATTGATGTCGACAATAACATCGCCTGGTAGAAGATAATCGTGTTAGAAATACTGCAACCACCAAGTAAGTTCGTTTTTATTGTTGGGGGGGACAAATGCATACATCTTCATTATCTTTGCAGCAAAGGCTTATGACCTCACACTCAAGGGAAGCATGCTGAGAATAACTGCAAATTCAGACTGTCATTGTGAGCGTGTCCTCCGAGTCCCGCCCACGTGGCCACACAGGCTCGGTGCGTTGTGGTGGGTGTTCGGACACAGACGGGGAGCAAGTACTCCACCGACTACTTGTACCAACAGGTCATCTTTAAATACTGCCTTGTTTCTCGACTTTTAAGAAGCCATTAAGATGTCATTAAAATTCATAATGTAGGGCGAAAGATTAGACTAATGTTATGGATGTATTTTAGCATTTTTCTTTTTCTAGAGTTTCAATTTGCTGTCGTTCTGATTTCACAAGGAGATGCAAGCCACAAAAGCCGTCAACAGAAGCAGAGAACATATTAAAACACTGAAGAGTCAGCTAAATTAATCCTGAAACGTTGGTTTTGCTTCCCTGATTTTGCATTATTATGACCACTGCCCCTTGACATTCGTCAGCTGTGTGTTTTTGATGCAGCCTTAAGTTTTAAAACGTGTGCTCGGCTGTCTTATCCGTTTGCTGCTTTTATTTTTTTGGATATGACTATTTAAAAGGTTATGGCCAGCCTTGGCCAGTGTGGCTCGGTTGGTTGGGTGTTTCCCAGGCACGGAAAGGTTGACTCCTGGTCAGGCTTGTGCCTAGATTGTGGGCCAGGTCAGGGGCATGCAGGAGGCGGCCAATCAATGGTTCTCTCTTTGCCTCTCCCTTCCTCTCTCTGAAATCAACGAAAACATATTTTTTTAAAAAATCTCCATGAATGGTTTTAAAAAACATCAGTCTGTGGAAATTTGTCCATAATCTAAGAAGATACAGAAATTAGACTAATTAGAAACAAAGTTTTGACTTTTCCTCCCCTAGTTAAAAATCCCAGAATTTTCAAGGAAATACTATATTGCTGTGCAAGTTAGATAAATTTAGACAAATCGGAATATCATGAAATCCCAACAGCACATACAATGTCCATTTCATGGACAAAATGTTCAAAAAGTCAAAACTGAGAACTAAAAATACCCCTTATTATTCATTTTAATCTCTGGAGTTCATTTTATAAAGTAATAGAGGAGAACTAAAAACAATTTTCTTTTCAAATACAACTTTTGATTATTGTAAGTTTCATGTTTTGGGTCTCTATCACCTAAACGGGAAGGAAGAGTTTGAGAGATCCCATATCCTAATTGGAAATAAGCCAACATCCACCATGAAAAGAACTATGGCGGCGGGAGCTGTCTATGTGTGGCCTACATGGTGTGTGAACTAACAGAGGATTAGAAAAGTCTAGTCAACAGTATGGGAAGCAAACTCAGTAGGATACTAAACCCTTCTGGAAAAACGTGTTTGAGCCTCCCTCATAGTCTGTAACTAGTCCTGAATCCCCTCTGCCACAGACACTGTCAGCCATAGAAAACCTTCTAGAAATGAAGAAGTTAGAAAAGCTATTAAACACAAATTCATGCAGTTCTGTAGCAATGGCAATATCCACGTCGATCATTTTTCACAGAGCTGCTCAGCTCTATTCCCGACCAGTGAGACCAAGCAAACAAGCAAACAAGACAACCTGGGAGAAAACTCGGAACGTAACCATTTGTGTGGCGCTACTCTAAACATCACAATGGATCATTTTTCAAAACAGGTCATAGGTCAAAGTTAGGTAGCTCCAAAAATACCCCACATAATCGAAGAAAACCAAACAATCAAATAGTTTTCCGAGATGGTTCATAAATCTTTAGTTTAGTCCAGCCAAAGGGTTATTTCAAAATTACACAAACTATTAAAAAATTAATGCATTTCCTCTATGTTTCCAGTTATTTGCAAAGATGGCCCTCCCTCAAAGCTAGCATGCACTTTGGCTGGGTCAGGTCGCTCCGCTGGTTAGAGTGCTGTCCCGATGCGACCAGGTTGGGGGTAGATCCCTGTCAGGGCACATCCAAGAATCAACCACTGAAAGCATGAATGGTTGGAACAACAGATTGATGTTTCTCTCTCTCTCTCTCCCTCTTTCAAATCAATAAAATAAAAATTAAAAAAAAGTAAAACTAGTATGCACTTAAAGGATAAACTATTTTAACACAGAAGTCTTCAGTTGTATTATTTAGTTCTTTCTCTCTATATAAAATTATATATAATAATATTGATGTTTTTATAGAATTATCTACTTATTCATACATTTTTAAAATATTTAGTTTTATTTTTTATTTTTAGAGGGAGGGAAAGGCAGTGGGAAAGTGAGAGAAACATCAATGTGAGAGCAAACCTTCGGGTTGTCTCCTGCACACCTCCTACCTTGGATCGAGCCTACTACTGGGGCATGTGCCCTGACGGGGAATAGAACTAGCAACCTTTCCATGCACGGGACGATGCCCAACCAACTGAACCAGGGCTTACTCGTATATTTTGCTACAGAAATTTAAAAATGCTTGAGCCCGGAGCGCTGCCGCATAGGCTAATGGCGATGGTGTATAGTATCCAGGACACACACACTCACATGTTTATTAAATCGCTCACCTGGTGCAATTTTCCCGTCCTGAGCGGCAGGGCCGTCTTTCAGCACGTTCTTCACCTGCAGGAACTCGTCAGGCCTGTCTCCTCCGATGATGGTAAAACCGAAGCCCATGGTGCTTTTTTTCAGTGATGCCCGGACCAGGATGCCTTTCAGCTGGGACGGATCCCGCGTGAAGTGGGACTTTTCTGTGTCTGTGCCAAAATGAGAAATGGGTTTGAGAACAAAAATCCCCACAATGAATAGGGCCCTTGAAGGCAATATTCAAGGTCGTCTATATAATTTAAATATAATGAACCACAGAGAAAGAAAAAAATTAGAGGGACTCTAATGCAATAGAACAGTTAGAATTTAAATTCATAAACCGAATCACTGAAAAATAAAACTCAGCGAGTGTCATTACTCTTTTCTAAGGTTCTTCCATGTTATGTGAAAGGTAAAAGCACCTGCTTTTCCTCCTCCTTGTTTGTACTTACTTCCTCTCACCGCAAAGACTCCCTTATCTGGAGTCAAAATGGGAGGGACAGCTTAGTATTAAGCTCCTGAAAGTCAGGGATGCGCACTCTATGTCCACTCCACTTGGTAGGCACCGCTGTGAGCTCTTGAGGGCAAGACCCCTCTTACCCCTAATCGCTCCCCTCCCTTCCCGCCCCTAATCGGTTTTGAATACCATATGCCTAGCAAAGCACTGGGCATATGGTAGGTGCTCAAAAATATTGGTTAAACTAAAAATATTTGGCTAAATCAAATGAAAACTTAAGGGAGGGGACTAGGAGCAGCTATAAGAATGTTTCTCTCATGGGCAACAGAGGTGGGGAGCTACTCAACCTCACAGTATGACCAAAAGGCCGTTAATAGGGCTACTAATGACAGAGGGAGGAAGGGGAGAGATGGGGAGGGGTGAATAGAATGTGAGAAATTTCTGGGCAGCGTTTTCAAAATACGCATGAGCGAGGCTCCCCAAATTCTCAGGATCTATTGTTTATAAATGTTCCCCACATGATCCTAGTATTATTAACACCTTCCCATTTGAGAGGCAGGTAATATGGTGACTTTCTTTAGTATTTGTTCATATCAGTTAATGAAGGATCCTGAATGGGTTCTGATGTCAGACCTAAGCAATCAGCTTGGGAGACACAATGAATGAGAGATCTGACACTGCCCTGGCCTTAAACTTTACGAAACAATTCGATCTTCACATCAGAGCCTCATACCCATAGCAAAGGCTTCAGTCCCTGCTCCCAACAATTTCACCCTTTCTGTATAAGCAGCATGACAAACTCTCAGTGGCCTCAAAACCTCTGCTGTTTTATTACGATTAGTCCTGTTTTTACAGCAACAAAAATTAGACGTTCTCTGTTGAATGTGAGAGCCCCAACTACGAAAGGCCCAGTCGCTTCCCGTTCGTTCAGTACATGAACGTCACGGTCAGAAAGGACCTCTACCTGGCTTGGAAGGCCCCGTATCAGCCTGTCCTGACTGCTTTTTCCTCTTGGCTTCCTCCACTGGGTTCTCAAACTGGGTTTTCTGGTTAAGGTGGCTGTAAATGGAGAAAAGACAATAGGCGTGCCTCCTGCACACCCGCTACTGGGGATGTATCCGCAGCCAAGGTACATGCCCTTGACCAGAATCGAACCTGGACCCTTCAGTCCACAGGCCGACGTTCTATCCACTGAGCCAAACCGGTTAGGGCGAGTTACGTTATTTTAAAAGAGACTATCAGACCATTCTGTCAGCGTAAGGGACAAATGGGTCCCTTCAGGCATGGGGCGCACAGGAGCTGGCAGGCCACAGCGGGAGGGCTTTTGTGACAAAGAAAAGCTGGAGAAGGTGCCTAGCTGTGGAGGCAGGCACTCAGCTTCTTCATCAATGCACCCCAAACAGCCAACAGCAGCTTCAAACTGCAGGAGAAGCCCTCATACCGATGCCATCAGAGCTGTCTGGTAATGGATTAATTTTTAATAGCAGGAGGGTTTTATGTTCCTCTAAACTGAAGCAGCTGTAAAGACACTTCTGAAGAAATCCAAGTACAGAGCCTTCTAGAAATGTACCGACTTTGCCACGGACTCACCTGCATCGACTTAGCAGCAACTAAGAAAGAGGTTTGCTTTTACCAAATGATAACACAGAACAACTCTTCCACGCTTAAATGCTTTCATAATTATAAAATGATTAAGTGGATTATGTAAAAGACCACGCAATTTAACTGGCATTGCTGAATTGGGGACATTCACAGTGGACTCCTGGAAAGCATACAAGTCTACAGCGAAAAGCAGAACAGGGAGACGAACAGGGTGAGCGGTCAGCCAACAGGAGTCGGTAAGCATCACAGAGGGACAGGGCACTGGTTACCCGGTCCTGGTAAAATGCAACCACTGCCCCAGGTGCTTAGGATCACCAACGGGTCTAATACAGAAGTGACGGGAATACATTTGAGCACTTCCAAAGCACAGATCTATTTCAGCCAAATGATACGCATTATCCAATGAAACCCGTTTTTTAAAAGTGGTGTTAGTGAACACCAACAATTAAACATCACGTCAACAGAATTTCACATTATGATTGCCTTTGGAGGGGCTGAGGTTTATAGAATCTGCACAAAAATAGTCACGCACTTGAATGATTACTTTGCCACGTGTGGACATTAAAGGCGGAGGCGGGGGAGCGGCTAGGCCTCTGTGTCTCTGTGTCGAGTGCAGTGTTAACGCTGAGACACATGCGCTACTTCGTCTCGGAGCCCTAACGGGGGCAAGTTCTGCGTGACAGACATTCTTTGGGTTCTGATGTCCCTAAAACTCAAGCATGTTTCTGCCTCTTACCACGAGGGGCGCCTTATCAGCTGAGCTACCTGCAACCCTCTGAGAAAATGAAGACGTCTGGTGTTAGGCAAGGTACTATTTTTACACTTATTTATTAAATACTGACATTTTCGTATTCTTGAAAAAATAAAACAACCAGAAACTGACCCTTAAGGAAAAAAGAAGAAACCTGTTTAGCAAGGACCTTGGCTCACCCCAATGTCATCTAGGGCTAGAATGACTTTCAGCCCAGGCATTAGACATGAAAGTAGTCATTTGTATTTGTCCTCTTTGCAATAAGTGGGAGAAGAGACCAGAAGTATGCAAATGAGGAACCCTGAAAATTCTCTGACAGAAGAATCTAAGATTGTTGTGAAGGGAGTAACTGCACCTGTCACCGTAGGTACCTAGATCAATGCCACCCAAACACAAAACAAAAAAGTAAAAACGCTCTCCTTCCCATTCAGCTACCATGTAATCCACACTATTGCTAAGTGGAACAGATTTTGTTTTCCATAGAACTAGCTGCGCAGTAAGAGAGGAGATGGAAGATTATCAGAAAAATTAAACAAGGGTAGCAAAGAAGCATGATCAGATATATTACATATAATTCGGAATCTCATCTGCACTAAAGGTGTGTGTATGCTGTGTGGATTTTTAAATTTCATCTCAGCAAACAAAACCATTATTCTTTTAGGAAGAACCTGAGATATCAGAGCACACGTCTATTTGGACTCTGTCACCGAAGTGCACTGAGTGAGACATTTGATGCGAAACAATAAGAAAACATTATTCCTAGTACATACAGGCATTCTTTGGGAAGGCCTGCCGTCACATTTTTGGAACAATTTCATATTCAGAAACAGATTAATCCGTTTCCGAATCTCGTACAATGAACTAAATACCGACACAGAAACACTGCCACCGCAGTTGGTGCTACTACGGCGCGGCTCCTGCCAAGAGCGATCTCCGTGCCATCTGGTTTGACAAACGGAGAGAGCCAAAGAGTAGCCATTCAAGCAACAGCTTTTTATTCCATCAGCAAACTCGCCGCGGATGACTGCGAGGCCTGCGGCCCAGATTCCAGCCTCACTCCTCTGGGAACCCGGCCACAGTCCACAGCTCCGCGGGCTCCGCGGGGACCTGCCTCTCGAGTACAGCCTGCTCTTCCTTCACCCAATCAATCACCCTCCTGTGAAACCAGCCAGTTCTGGGAACAACCAGCAAATCCTGTCGTGCTGCTCTGACCCGGCCCTTTGCGGCCACCGGGCGGGCCGCCCAGGGTCTGCCCTGACGTTGCTTCATCATTACAGCCTTGCTTAGTGACGCCCGCATCCTCGGGCCCCAGGGTTTCTAACAGGCAAAGGGCTTCCACCGCCCGACCACGGGTTCGCATGCGTTTGGGATGGACGATAAGAGCATGATGACCATCATCTCAGAAGCCTCCGGCTGTGCCCACCAATCCCAATAGACGAAGCTACCAGGGGGAAAATCCCACAAAACCTTTCTGGTTGGCCTTCCAATACGCCCTGGACTTAAAAAATAATTCTTTCTTTATTTTCACTACATATGCTTTAGGAAAACATAACCAAAGAGCTGCTGTATAGTTTTCACATCACAGTAGCAGCAAGACATTAAATCGCACAAGGGACAGACAATTAGCACAGCCTTACAAAGGAGCCAAAATACTGACATTGAGAAGTTAGAGACCTGAGCGTCAAGCTAGTCACTTCCTTTGGGTACAAGTTACATTTTTAAGGATTTCCACAAACCTCTCTGACCAGTGACTTGAGGACAATGCACACACACACACACACACACACACACACACAGGAATAAACACTAGAGTTACTAGTACAACCGGAGTCAGAGGTACTTACTTTCAGGACAAATACCAGGAAGTGGCATTTGTTTTTGCCAACAAGTAATAACAAATTAATAAGCCGTCATAGAGCTAGAAGGGTCTCAGGTTTGCTGCTTTTGCCAGGTAATAATGTCATTTCGCCTTCACTTGCCAGGCAGCAGGTTCAGGCTCCCGTTTCCCGGGAAACAGTAACATTTCTCATGCAGTTGTTTGCCTGGCACTAGACGCCTGAGGTCAGAATTGTATCGAGAGCATTTGGAAGGAAAGCAGCCCCAGTGGTCATAACAACAATTCGATAAAGGGAGAACGGAGAGAAAAATTAGATGTTGATGCCATCTTAATTTCTCAGGCTAACAAAGGCAGGGGCTTGGAATGCCCGCCAACATATGTGTTTAAATTTAACCAAAACAGCTATGTAGGGAGCAACTTCCATTCATCTCCCTCCCCCCAAAAAATCCCTTACTACATTTTCCTTGGTTCATTCCTTAAAAGAGAACACTTTTAATCAGATACTTCAGCGTTCTGGGTCACGTGCAACATGCTGCCCTTACAGTTCCCCACTGTTCTTGGGCCCTACGGCGTTCACCCGCCCGGCGCCCTCACCCCACAGCCCGCTGTCCCCCTCTCTCGGTGGAGCTGTAGTAGCGCCCACAACTACTCATCATCCAGCAGCTTTCCTCTCGATTCCCTCCAGAGCCAACTCCAGGGAGCCCAGCATCGGTGAGTGAGGCTCACCTCCCCCCGCCTCCCCGCCCGGAAAACCCTGGGAGCTGATGGGGGCATGGAGTCTGCAGGGCGGATGCCCTAAGGCTGCATAACTGCGGAGGAAGCACAGTTGGGAAAATAGGAACCGAGGGAACAGACTTACTCGACATAGTATGTCCCATACTGAGGGTCCTCTATCTTTTCCCAGCCATAAGGAAGTTCTGTAAGAAAAGGAAAGAAAAAAGAACGGAGTGAGACGCCAGATTCAAAACCGACAGGAGAGGACGTGCCAATGAGTGAACTGACATTTCTGGGAGACAGAGAGCTGAGGGCTCACTTTCCAAGAGCAAACGGTTTGAGTCTGAGTGGCTCCAAGACCCCCAGCGATGCCGGAAACCATGGACAGTATCCGACCCAATCTATACTACCTGGTTTAAAAAAGTGAAAAGGTGACATAAAACTCATCAGCACTGCCGTGTTCCTACTGTTAGCTTGGGCTTATTATTTGAATGATCTTCAATCGGTACTATCTTTTGCAGAAAAATTTTAAAGTCACTTTTCAATTTGGTCTGGATTAAAAACCGTGCAACATGGTCTTTAAATCCACGGAACGGACACAGTCAACTGCAAAAGCCCACGGTGCCCCTGACGAGAGTCAGGCACTCTGGGTGGGTCTGTGATAATCACACAGAATCACAGGTAGGATCGCCAATCTGTCTCTACAGTAGTAGAGAAGCTTAATCTACTTTTTCCCTAAAAGAAACATTGTGGAAAATAAGTTCTAACACTTTTTTCCTTACACCAAAAGGTAGTTTGAACACCAACACTCTGGTGGCCACTGGCATTAGGGATGTATTGGAGAAGTAACCGAAGAAAGTAAGTCTAAAGATGATGCAAGTGTGTGGTGATCAGAGGAAAGGAGAGACAAATGTAAAAGAAACAGCACGGAGAGAAAGTGGAGAGATGGCAGACAGCTATGTGGAAAAGCAAATACAGCAAAATGCTCGTTGGAACACCTCCGTGGTGGACACATATGTGTTCACTGCATAGTCCCATCAATGTGACTGTATGCTGGAAAATTTTCATACCAAAATACTGGCAAAATGTAGAAAAGGAAAGAGCAATAGGGACTGGAGACTGTATACAGGGAACAGAGCAAGAGAAGAGGAAGCAAATATGGCCGCAAGGATTTGGGCGCAGGTGACTATGCGGATGGTGTCGATGACAGAAGGAGGGGTGGGTGACTTCGGGATAAAAATGTTTAGTTTTAAATACAGTTATTTGAAGTGCTAGTCGGACAATAAAAAAGAAAGTCAATAGGAAATACAGAAATAGCATTTAGAACCGAGGACAATACTGGAGATGTAGATAAGGGACCCAACTACAGTGAATCGATAGTTAAAGCTACGGAAATACACTCTACAGGGAAAACAGGAAACAGCAGAGAATTGAACTGAAACAATTAGTGGGCAGGAAACAGGGGGAGACCAGCGAGAGAGACATGGCTGAGAAGACTAATACCACATTCATGATCGTTAAACAGCCCAAGTCTACAGGGTCATACATGCCAGTTTACCCTCAGAGGGCTGATTTAACCATCAAAAACTTACTGCTGAAAACCTTAGACACAAAGGGGGCATGTTATAAAAATGATTTTAAAAATTATTTCTTAACGTAGTAACAGGTGTTAATGCGGTTGTGGAGAAAAAGGAACCCTTATTCACTGCTGCTGGGCATGTAAACTGGTTAAAACCACTATGGAAGACAGTATGGAGCTGCCTCAAAAAATTATGACTAGAGTTACCATGTGACCCAGCAACCCCTCTCCCGAGTATCTACTTGGAAACTTTGAAATTATTGATTTGAAAAGATATTAGGTGCCCCTATGTTCACTGCAGCATTATTCACAGGGGCCAAGACATGGAAACAACCAAAGTGCCCTTCGATAGATGATTAAAGAAGATGCACATATACACAATGGAATAGAGCCTTTGTCCTGACATAAATATTTTAGAATCAGCTTATCGATTTCTTCAAAACAAATTTTATTCTTCTGCAGTCTATATTCAGGAAGGCATAGCAAACCATTTTGGGTGGGGTAAATTCTACACTTACTTGTAAGACTCTGCCACTAAATAGAGTCTATAATATACAAGGCAGAATTACTATCCAATAATAATAATTACCCGATAATTCTTAGAGGAATAATTTTATTACTGAGCAGTCAAGACTGTTTGTGGGGTGGGGTTTATTAAAGACTGTCATTGGGTTCCTAACGCTGCTCTAAATGGCTAGGGATTAGCCAGAGATACTATCCATCCTAGTGATACTAAATTAAATATATTTTTGAAGGCTCAGCAGGCATGATGAGGCTACCCTGGGGCTGAGAATGTACCGAACTTATTAAAATATTTATTTGGAATTTTTTTGAAGTTTGTCTTTCGGAATCTACCTCCGTCTTCACAGTCCTCGGGGGCTTTGGCTTTCTTACAAAGGCGAGGGTCCAGCCAGGTGGTCGTTTTGGTATTGTGGCTGCAGAATAAAGGTTTCAATTAGAAACAGTAAAATACAGATGAAGAAAAATATATCAAAAGCAAAGATGAAAAGTGACTAAAAGGTAGATGTTGTTAGAAGAGTCATCTTCGACAGGCTCTGCTTTGCCTGCCCCTGACTCAACAATCCGACTGTTCTCAGTCTGTGGCTTCGAAACGGCCATGAAGGGGAGGCAATGCCAGAGGCACTGATTCGAGGAGGGGGGTTTTAAGGAGGGGACAAGCAGCAGGACAGAATAACAGGCCCTCTCTGAGTGAGGGCGCGCCACGGCCCCCGCTGTGCGGCAAACCGCAGGAAAGGCCGCGTGAGAACCTGGTTCCCTTGCTGCCCGAATTCCTTCCTCCTGCCCTTCATAAACCGCTGTATTTCTTGAGTCCCTGTGACGTGTGGACACTGCTGGGGGCTGGGAACATGGAGATGCATGATCAGATCGAGCCTGTGGACTCACAGGGCTATTTAAAATAACATCATGTAGAGTGAAATGAAAGGCAAAGCTCTATAGTGCCTGTTTCTGCGATATTGCAAGTAACGAGGATGGGTACAGCCCGGCTGGTGTGGCTCAGGGGTTGAGCACCAACCTATGAACTAGGAGGTCATGGTTCGATTCCCGGTCAGGGCACAGGCCCGGGTTGCGGGCTCGATCCCCAGAAGGGGGGGTGCAGGGGGCAGCCGAGTGATAGTTCTCTCTCATCGTTGATGTTTCTGTCTCTCTCCCTTACCCTCTCCCTTCTGAAATCAATAAAGAAATTTTTTTAATGAAGGGTATAATTAAACTCAACTCTACGAAACTGTTTTTATCAGTATGGACCATGTATTTAATAGAAAGAAAAGGTGGAACAAAAAGATCACCCCACCCCCTCTTTAAGGAGTAGGCCGCGGACGCCTTCAAAGAGCAGTGTCTGCCTGAGCTCACCACTGGTCACCCGGTTACTGCAGGCCAGGCCACCGTGCAGCGGGCACTAATGCTAAATAAGACCACTGCTGGGCCGACGGTGCTACAGTCTAAGTGTCTGCAATGTGAGGATAGGAAAGCAAGAAAAAATCCCCAAAGAAAAACACATAGGAAGGCAACAAAATATAAATGACAGCGATTCTCAAAGAGTGCGAGGATAGCATTGTGACAAGTTATCTTGTCTTGGCGTCTATATCCTGAGATCAACTCGCTCATCTCGACACGGGCCGCTCCTAGGAAACGGAGCCAGTGGTTTCCGGAAATGAATCAGATCTCCCACGCCCTTCCTCACCCCTGCGCTACTGAGAGGGCTAGCTAGGCAGTCCTCCCTGCACAGTGCCAGGCCTGACTCTCGACTGTGGCAGAGACCCTCCTGTATGCCGAGTATGGGGAATCTAAGTAGGAGACCCTGGGGTTCCTTCTAGAAAGTCTGTTACCCGTTCTGTCAGAGAGAATTTCCCCAAACGAAAACTGGCCAAAGCAATTTTAGTGAAATGAAAAGGGGCGGAGCTCCACGGAGGCCTAGCAGCATGCTTACTGTTGAAAACAAATGATGGGCATATCTTATAAACCCAAATTCCTAACTTTTAGAAAAGCTTGACTTTGGTTTCAATGATCCAAAACGTGTACCGCTAGGTTAGCAGGTAGGCAACCCACTGGGATCTTACCCACTGTTTCTCAAGGGAAAGACATGCCCATCGGGGCTGTACCTGAAACATCATAGCTGAAGACTGCAGACCGGCATTGTTTACTGACAGATGCATGACTTAGCGGCAGCAGTCACACAGACCAAGCACCTGAGCTGCCGCAAGAAGGCTTAATCTCGCAGCACAGAATACTCAGCTCTAGCGTGGATATTAACCCCTGATGAGACGACGGTTTGCAAGTATTTGCTCCTATTTCTTAGGCAGCTACTTCGCTCTGCTGACTGCTTCCCTCGGCTGCACAGAAGCTTTTCAGTCTGATGTGGTCCCTTTTCTCTGTTTTAGCTTTCGTTGCCTGTCACACCCGAGAAGTCCTTGCCAAGTTCAATGTCACAAAGCTCTTCTTTTAGAGGTTTTATAGTATCCGATCTTACAGGTAGACCGCAATCCACTTTAAAAATGTTCACCTAGAAAGACATTTGTTGTATACATTCCCCAGCCCCATCATTTACTCACTTCTCCGTTTGCAGGGGGAGGTGCTGTCAGATTTGATGTCTCATAATCTGCTTCTAAAGATATTCTAGCTCCTGTTCGTGACTCTACATCTTACCCAGGGGGTTAGTTCCCAAGTCAGCATGAAAGGCAAAGTCTAAATTACCCTGAAAAACTCCTCAAATTGGCCACAGAGAAGAGTATACCTGATTTTGTCTGTTGTGTGTAATCCTGGTCATTAATGTTTACATAAATATATAAAGAAATCAATAATTTACCACGCATCGTAAAAAGAATACCCTGCACACAAAATCTATGTCTTTGAAACGCTAGACTCTCACTTGGTACAGCAAGATGCTTATTCTATCTGAAGGATGTGGAATTGGGGACCAATTGAGGAAACCCACTCAAATCTCTCCCTCCTAATTCATGTCTGTGTATATGTTCTTTTGAGTGTAGTATCCAGCCCGCAGTATTTTAATTAGTATATTCTGTAACTTCACTACTTCAATATTCTACCTCCGGGTAAATTCGTTTAAAGATGAGAATTACAGCTGCATGAGAATATAAAAATACTTCAAATGAAACTTCTAATAAATTATTTACATAATATTCTCAGGTGCAAGCAATGGAAACCTTTAGGTTGACTGAATACATATGGTACTCTATAGCACTATTAATATAAGCATATTAATAGTGCTTATTCATAAAATAGTTTTTTGTGGGGATTTATATTATACCAATTCTTCTGAGGACCAGTGATTTTCCCCCCTCCTATAGTATTTGACTCTGTTGCCTGAAAACATCAACCCCAATCTCTAGGACTGAAAATATGTAGCTAAGAACTATGTCCTCCTCATATGATAATTCCTGAAATGTGTGTTAAGTGGGACAATATACACAAAAGTTAAAAAACAACAACAACAAAACAAGCAACGCAGCCCTGGCCTGTGTGCATCAGTTGGTTGAGCATCGTCCCATGCACCCAGAGGTCACCAGTTCAATTCCTGGTCAGGGCACACGCCCACGTTGTGAGCTCCATCCCCAGTAGGGGGCGTGCAGGAGGCAGCTCATCAATGTTTCTCTCTCAACAATGAAAGCATCTTTTTTTTAAAGAAAGCAAACCAAACCTTCTTTATTCCTTACATTTTTCATTCTTAGTGATAAATCTGTCTTTCATCCTCTTGTTTTCATAAAACCAGAGATCAAATACACTCTTCCTTCATCTAAGTCAAGTAAAAACAAAATACCGTCCAGGAGAAAAGTCAGATTAAGAATCAACTATAACGTGGATGGAAAATATTTTGAAAGAAAGAAGAAAGACACGGAGGCCTTGAGAAAGGAGGTTCAGCATGTTCTCAGACAAGCCTCCCCGTGGCAGGGCTGTGAGAGGAGATACAAACATTGGCTTACTCAATGAAGTAGATCATCCCTGCGTCAGTGTAGGCCATCTCCCAGTTTTTGGGCAGCGGTTCCAGATTCTCATCTCTCATCATGTAATTTCTGAAGTCCATGGAGCTATTGGTTTGGTTGTAACTCGGGACGGTCTTCATCCAATCCGATGACTCAGAATGCCTCTCTCTGCTTTCTGTTCAAAACAGAACAGTATGCAAAGCAGGTGAGCTTATACTGTCTTCAAACAGCACTTTTCATTTCTAACAAAATGCCAAATATTTATTACACATTTCCTTGTCTTTTGGGTCCACATTCTGCTTTAACTTTAGAAAAAACAAACAGAAACATACTGTTTTATTTTATTTTTTTTTCCCATTTGCTAAGTGACATTAACCCCGTGTAGCACCTTGGGGGCTAATCTGGGAAAGAAGCAAAAAACAACTCTAGAATCAAGTCAGTTCATACTGAACACAGATCAATCAACAGGACACTAACAACAGCCCACTAGCACATGTACAATCCCTTCACGTGTCAGGTGCTATTTTCAGCGCTTCACATGTATTAACTCACAATCCTTACTCAAGCCTGTGAGTACGTCTTACTATTCCCATTTTATAGATGAGGAAACCGAGGCACAGGAGGTTAACTTAATGTAGTCAAGGTGACGCAGCTTATCGACAGCAAAGCCAGGATTCCAACCCCAGTGGCCTATGCTACACCAAGCTGCCTCGTACCCATGTAACACAGGCCTTTCAGAGTGACACGCAGTGGACTTCCTGTTGTTAAATATAATTTTCCGTTGTTGACAGTGAAATCCTTTGGAGTCCCAGAGTCTATAAGGTAGGTAAAAACACTAAATGTGGGTTACTGCAGGGAGTGCACATTTCATGAACTTGAAACTTGTTTCTAGAACTTACAAAACAACCCAACTGTAATAAGCCCGGACTGCAGTCAACGCCTCCGCATCAGAGACTCTGTGAGGCGGCCTTCGACATCCTTCTACAGCCTTCCTTGTCCTTACAGTACTTGCACTCCACCATCCTTTCCCTAACCAAGCGCCATCATCCTTTAACCCCACTACTTACCCCCTCTCACTGCTCCTCACCCCCATCCCCGCCCTAGCCATGTCCTCCTTACCCTACCTACCCGAGAACACGTGCATTCCCACACTGGGACAAATTCCCGGTCTCTAATGCCAGTCTTAAACATTTAAAGATGTTAACAAACTTAGTTCTGTGGGTGAGCAAAGCTGACATCAACATCAGAAGGCTCTACGATATGATGAGTTCCCTTAACAACCCCTAAAAAATAAGATGTGAATTCACCCAAACATTTTCCAACCTGTTTTCACCCAAATATATTGGGGTCATACATGAAACATCAAACGTATGAACTGGCATAATTATGTGGGATGCTAGGACTAGAAAACAGGACTCACATTCTGGAGGGAAACGCAAACAATGAATGCACTGAAACAACAAATACAGTGTAGACAGCAAATATTAACCACTGATAAAGAAAACACGGGGATGCTTTGGGGAAATGATCAAATTGGGTGCCAGTGAAATATGTCTTTTAGTTCCTACTACATGCTGGGCACTGTCTATGCTGCAAGGGATACAACAATGAAGAAAACAAGCAAAAATTCTGCCCCTCATGCAGCTTCTATCGCCATGTCTTGAATGGAAGTGTTATAATGAATAGCACTGAAACCAGGTCTCCTGCAATTCTGTGGCTTCCCACCCATACTCTCAATTAGAAGTCTTCTAAGCAATCGCCACATGTTGGGGGGAATTCGAAAGAGTAAGATTCTCCACCAGTAAGTTCCTGTTGGTTTTGCATTTAATGAAAAAATAGGAGAGTCAAGTTTGGAAATTTTCTTTGAGTGGTTCTGAACGTAAAATCAAAGTACTGCTTGCAAACCTGTCGGATAACGTTGACTAGCACATCTCCAAAACTCTGTGCTGTGTTTTGGTTGAAAGCTGTCTCTTAAAACACCTACTTTCGTTCATATCCTGCAAAGTAGGACGTAGGCCAACAAGATTCCCATATTCCAGCTTCGGAAGTGAACCCCACATCGTTTAAGCGGTAGAGCAATGCCATCCCACATTATCGCTACGGATAGCTTTTCACTGACGCATCGAAATGGCCACGTGGAGCAGCTTTACAAGATGAGGGACAGAGATACCCTTTGTTCCACACAGAAACCTTTACAAAAACATGAGAACCCCACCACTCACTCTGCATGGGCGTTGTGGGAAATCTTACGACCTCCAAGGCAGGGTCACGTTAAAGCCAACCGGGAGGGTCCCTCAGAAGTCCTTCATCCCTTTACGAACCTGCATGTCCAGTGCCATTAACGGCTTCCCTGTCCTCATCGTCCTCCTCTTCGGGGAGAGAGCTGTCCGTCCTCTCCATCTTGCTGACGGAGGTGGTCCGTTTCCTTTGGGATTCGGGGTCAAACTCATTATCAAAGAGGACCTGGTCCACAGGGTCGGGCTGGAAAGGGCTGGGCTCTGCTGGAGGCTTGGGAGTCCCGTAGAAGTTTCCTAAGTGAACACAGGAACAGCAGCTGGGACACTGACCTTGACCCGAGCGTCAGGACAATCTGACCCCGTGGACGTCTCCGCCCTGTTACCTTACGCTGAATAGCCAACCACCACCGGCCTAAAGGAGGCCAAGACACTTCCTGGAAGAGGAGGAGGTAGAAAGAGCAAAATAACTGATTTCCTAAGTGTCTGTCACCATAGAAAGCCGCGGTTCTCAACCTTCCTAATGCTGCGACCCTTTAATACAGCTCCTCATGTTGTGGTGACCCCCAATTTCATGGTTACAAATTGAACGTAATTAAAGCATAGTGATGAATCACAAAAACAATATCTGATTACATATGTGTTTTCCGATGGTCTTCGGCGACCCCTGTGAAAGGGTCGTTCGACCTCCAAAGGGGTCGTGACCCACAGGTTGAGAACCGCTGATATAAAGCCAGGAAGCTGACTGTGTGTGTGTGGCATATTGATCCCAGCAGGGCTGTTTTGCAGGGCTCCTAAGGCAGGGCCTCATTTGTGAAATTAGATGCATTAACGCTCCCGTGTAAGATTCCCTGGCATGAAAGTGGGAGTAAAGGAGAAGGAAACCAACTCGGATAATTGTGTGCTGATGTGCAACATGAGGAACTATTTTGGTAAGAGGAGGAAATATGTGGGCAAAGGATGAAGCTAAGAACTACCCAGTCTGTGTTGAAATGTAGGCTGTTTCTGTAAAAGTAATTTTTGAAAGTTTTCCTGAGATTCTAATTATATCATTTTATCTGACAATTTGTTGAACAAATAGAGACATTATTAGCATATTTCAATATTGGCTTACTCTCAGGGAAGCAAGAAATGCTTTAATATGTTAGGTCTTCAGGATCAGTCATTTTTGCAGTAAAAATAAATGTTCCGGAATAGAATGAGAACAATGGAATATCTCCTCAATTTGTCATGTAGCTCTCATTAGGCAGCCACATACAATGGGAAAATGCTCAGTAGATCTACCTGCGTTAACAGTCTGTGGCTCCTGCTAGTTTTGACCTTGTATCAATCACTATGCTAATGTTATAGGAAGATAAATATGATTGTGGAGTAAAATATTCATGACCTTCTTTTATTTTTTAAATCACTTTTTGTCTCATCGAATTCCTTGGCTCCTAAGGAGGCAATTAAGATGCTCATTCCCACAACATAAATCACTGGGGATATAATGGCTTCCTTTTCCTGGATGAAGAAAGCATGGGTTGTGAATTGTAACACTGAGGCAAGTCTACAGATAACACAGTTTACCTTAGGTGGGACGTGCCTGGAAGGGGAAAGCAGGAAGGTGAATTCTTTGGAAATGTGACTTGAGGCGGGATTGTTATTCAAATGCTCAAGACAAAACAGTGGCATCAAACTATAAAGCTTTGCAACAACATTTTGCCTGCCTGACCCCTTGCTTTCAAATCCATGTTTGAGATGGAGTCACTCCCGCCACGCAGATGACGCAAAGGCTGGCATCAAAACACATCTCTGTCGCTGAAGTAGAGCAAGGAACTGGTGGGAAAGTCAGTTCACACTTCTCTGGGGCAAAGGGCAGCGAAACGGTCCAAATGGAGGTTTGGTTGGGGATGAGGATGAGCTAGTCCCTGCGTCGTGTGCAGCAATCCCACTCCTACGGGGTGTGGACACACCATGACAATGGAGAGTCCACTTTTCCTAAGGGTGGGAGTTTTACTAGAAACACATTGTAGTGTGTATCCTTGGTAATTATTATTATTTTTTTTTTAGCTCTAGAAAGTTCAATTTTTTTCTAGGGTGAAAAATGAGAAAAATTCAGGATATTGTGATTGTTATCCATAGACACTGATAAGATTTTAGGACTGGATCATAAATTCTGGCAGTTCCCTTATTTTTAAAAAATTATTGGTATTAGTACTAAACATGCTTATAAGTAAATTCGATATATTTTTCTTGAGTTATTGTTAAATATGAAGATTGCAGATTACAGCAAGGTATATAATTACAAATTTTGTGAACCCTGACTATAGTTATTCACAGAAATTTTTTTTTTCATCCGTTGAAGCTGTATTAAGGCATTTCCTTCTTCTCTCTTTTCTGAAGGTGTTTTCATTTTTACAAAGGAACTATTAGTTATTTTAAACATATATACAACCACGGACAATAGTCTTACAGGAATATTCGAAACCTCCTTACCTATTTACACATCCGCCGGGGACTAGTCTGCCGGATTCTTTCAGCTCTCCCCCTTTCCCCTTGGAGCACATACATGTATGGTCACATACACTATTAAAGCCCTAACTTCCTGTCTCTGCCCTCCCACTCTTTCTGAGTCATCCTGAAGTTAGCATGTCATTTCCCTGCATGTGTGTACGCGAGGACATACGTATAAGCACACATAACGTATAAGTATTTTGTTCATAAAAGCTTCACAAGCATCCTATGACATTTCAAATCTTTTTTCTGAGGAGCATACTGCATGCATCCTTTTGCAACTTTCTTTTTATACAATTACTAGAGGCCCAGTGCACAAAATTCGTGCACAGGTAGGGTCCTTAGCAGCTGCCGGCCGGGGCCTTCCTTTATTCCACGCCGCCCCCTGGTGGTCAGTGCACATCCTAGTGAGTGATTGAACTCCTGGTCTCCTGGTCGAACTCCCTAGGGGACACTTTGCATATTAGGCTTTTATATAGAGAGATATTCCTAAGACTTATTCCTGTTGATGCGTAGATTCTAGTTCATTTTAACTGCTGTAGGATAGTCCATTTTTAGAACAAATTAAAATGTACTTGGTTGATTCCCCTATGAGAAGAGAGTTGTTTCCATCCTCTCACAAACAGTGCTACAGGGACTATTTTGGAACTGTCCACACATGCGCACAGACAGGGTTTCCCATGGGCACATGAGGGGGAACTGCTGCGTCAATCACGCACATCTTGGAAGTTACTAACTGTGGCCAAGGCGTTCTCCAAAGGGACGGCATCATTTTATACTCTCGCCAGCTGCCTATGGGAGTTTCCATTCCCTCCATTATCAGCCTGTAAAACTGTTGTCAACATGATGGGTGTGAAATGGTGTATGATTGTTATTTCAATTTGCATTTCCTTTAATTGGGCACAATTTGCCACTTGGTCATATTTCTAACATGCGCTTACACTTAACAGAAGAAAATATCTTTGTGATCTAAGGGCAGAGAAGGAGTTTTTAAAACTTCGAAAGTACAAATCATAAGAAAAACAGTGATAAACTTGGTGGACGAAAGTTAAGGATTTCTGTTTATGAAGCAACACAGGAAAAGGTTATTGGGTGAAAGAATAGGAGAAAGTATCTGTATCCAATAGGGGATTAATATAGAAATAAATATGTAAATATCTAAGGAATGTCTGCCACTGGAATGTGATTGAGATCCCATTAAAAAAAAAAAAAGACAGACACACCCTCGCTGGTTTGGCTCAGTGGATAGAGCATCAACCTGCAGACTGAAGGGCGCCGGGTTTGATTCTGATCAAGGGTCACATGCAAGGGTTGCGGGCTCGTGCAGGAGGCAGCCAATGATTCTCTCTCATCATTGATGTTTCTATCTCTCTCCCTCCTCTTCCTTCCTCTCTGAAGTCAATAAAAATATATTTAAAAAATAGGCGAACAAATGAATAGATAATTTGCAGAAGTTCAAAAAACTAACAAGCATATGAAAACATGCTCAAACTCTCTGACTTCCAGAGAAACTCAAGTTTAAATGAGATACCACTTTTACAGCCATAGGACTGGCAAAATTATAAAGCTGGGCAATGCCAAGTGCTGCTGAGGAGATGGAGGCATTACTACAGCTGCTACAGCAACCAAACCTCGTGCAGTCCTGGCAGGAAGGCAGGCTGCAGAGCTATCCTTTCCAAAACTACTTCGTCAGATGGGTACCAAACCCAGCAATCCTGTCCCTGGGTATACATTCCACAGACATTCTCACACAGGCCTATGAGAAGACGTGTGCGAGGATGTTTGCTGCAACTTTAGCGGTGGTGATGGGGCGATGGAGACTGTCTGGAAGTCCATCACCAGGAGAGTGGTTAAGTGAGAGGCAGTGGATTCATGATGAAGGACTGTGCAGCAGTTAGAAAGCAATGAGTTACATGCAAATAGAGATAGCAACACGGATGAATCTAAAATATAGCGATAAGTGAAAACAGTTAAAACTGAGTGAGATCTGGAACATAGTCCAGATGTAAATAATAAATACATGCACACAAAATAAGGACACATACAAACGAAATATATATATATATATTAAATAATATGTATTATAATATATATATAATTAATAATATATATATATATATTAAACGCATTGGATGGCTGCCTATAAGAGGAGGTGAAGGAGAACAGGCCATTTGTAGAAAATGAAAAATTAGTAGCTGCCATTTCCTCTGAGAAGTCTTCGCTGGCCACCTTATCTAAAGAAGACATTCCTATGATTTTATTTAAATTCATGTTCTTGTTTCCTTCATAATATCTTAATGTATAGTTATTTTGTTTGTTGTGACTGCCTTCCCCAGTAAGATACGGATTTATTAAGGCAGTATCACTTCAATACTGCTCATCACAGTGTCACCAGTCTCTCTGATAATGCTTGGCACACAGAAGGTAGTTGAAAAATGGGTTGAATGAATAAAAAAAAAAAGGATCAAATGAAGGAGTGTAATGAATTCGTTGGAGCTGAGTTCCAGAAAGGGTAGCTGGGCCAAAGTCAGCAGACCCAAGAAATCCCCGGAGATTCTGCAGAGGACAGAGACGTGACAGAGCTGTGTTTGAGGAATGTCAGCAAGGCAGGGTGGAGTGGATGGAGGGAAGCGATTGAAACAAATGATATCCACTCAATAGCCTGGACTGGAGCTAGCCCAGTGGGCCTACCATGAGGTGAAGGAGTGGGAAGAAAGGCAATGAGAAAGCTGCTCTAAGGGAAGAAATGACTACATTTGGTAACAGACGAGATGGGGACCGTGAGGAAAAGGAAGTAAATGATGACTCCAGTGTTTTGAGCTCACGGTGCAGCTAAAGGGAGAAATTCTGAAGAATTCTTTTGGACAGAACACAGACAGACTTGGATATGTTGAAATCAAGGTGAGATGTTTACTGAGCATCACCTCTGGGCACGGAAGGTAACATCGCGTAAGAAAGACGTGATGTCTGCCTTCCCTGAGCTGGTGAAACAGGCAATGAGGGCAGCACGAGGGAGCAGTGGGGGAACAGCGCAGGGTGCTATGGTAGTGGACAAGCTTGCCAGTGAAGAGTGTTACATAAGGAATAAAGGACTTAACCCAGAATCATTTAAAATGTGAACTTGATTGCCCTAGTGGTTTGGCTCAGTGGACGGAGCGTCGGTCCACAGACTAAAGGGTCCCAGGATCGATTCTGTTCAAGGGCACGTACCAGGTTGCAAGCTAGATCCCCGGCCCTGGTCGGGGCATGTACCAAAGGCAACCAATCGATGTGTCTCTCCACTGTCTCTCCCCTCCCTTCCACTCCCTCTAAAAACCAATGGGAAAATAACTTCAGTGAAGATTAACAATAAAATTTGAACTTGATCTTAAAGTTGTACTTCCTGGAATCAAGTGGGTAGAGGAGAGATATATGAAAAGAAAACCAAATACTCTGTTTTTGCTTTTCTCCCCCCATTCTATATTCTCTTTTCTCCAAGCGATCCAAAGTATAAATAGATTTTTTAAAGTCTACAGTATTTGAATTCTCAATCACAAATAGAAAGCAATCTACCAACACTTGCTGAGCTCATATGAGGAATATGAATTACTATGAAATATACAAACTAGCTAATTTGAATAATTTTAGTATATTATTCATAATGTGATGAAATGCTTTTGGTTTATTGTTTAATCCCATTTTAACTAGCAAATTGCAATTACCCTAATTAAGAGAGAAATTTCCCCCAAACCGACAGATAAAACTTCTTTGTAAAACGGTATTTTACTGATCAAATTCCCTCTGAAATAATTCCAGTCATTCAGATAGTTTTCTGGGTTACTGTTGTCAATATTTGGGGACATACCATCATACGTTCCACTTTCTAATAATGCTCCACTCTCTTCCAGTGCTTTGAACTGTTCAACAGAAATGAAATTATAGTCCACCCCTGGCACTTCCCCATCTCTGGGGGCCCTTGTGGTGCCTAAGGAAAAAAACAACAAGAAAAAAATAGGTTGGAAGTGCTTTTAAACTTACAAAATATTGCAAATAATAGAATATATAGCCTATAGAGAACACATGGAGGAACAGAACATTGAATATATTGTACCTACTAGAATGAGGATCAGGAAATCTGAGGCAAGTTAAGATTCCTAAGTGAACGCAGGAAAATAAATAACGTAGGATGAGTCAATAAACTTGAATAAACCTACAGGTAGCCATAAAATTCAAAACTACAAAGACTATAAAATTGTAGTGTCAGAGAGAGCTTAACTTTCTAAGACACAACAGTTAATTCTTCCTTTAAACCTCAGTTATCATTCCTTAACATTTAACAACCCACCAATGACAGACCTCATTTTTAGGTAGCTAACGTGTATTTTTTTTCCTTCCTTAGAGAAAAGAAATGAACGTTCTACTTACTAGACGCATAAAGGACAATTAAAAGAAAAAAATTTAAGGTCTTCTAATGAACTCTATTTTAAAAACTTGGGAAAATATTAATTATGAAATTATTTTAGGTGAATAAAAAGGCTTAAGGCTTAATAAAGGTAGGTATTTACACACATTGCTTCTTAGCCATTATTCTCTTCAAGTAATTTTTAAAAATTAAGCAGTAAGTAAGCTGTTCAATACAATTCAGCAACAGAGCACTGAATTTTATCTGCTAAGGAATTCATGCTAAAGTACAATTGATCCTTGAACAATGAGGGGGAGGATCACCAACCCCCTAACACACAGGTGAAAATCCGCATAGAACTTGTGACTCCCCCAAAACACAACTACTGGTCCTTTGGTATCCATGGGGACTGGAGAAAATAGGGTCCGGGTTGAACCCTCAAAACCTATGTCAGCATTCTAGCACCCCCAAATCGATAACAATCCTAATTTAAAATATTAATACAGTTTAAGAGCCATGTTACATTCCTAATTATAAGTACTAGAATCAATAAAATATTTTGTTTTTAAAAAAATGTATTTTTATTGATTTCGGGGGGGGGGATAGAAACATCAATGACGAGAGAGAAATCATTGATCAGCTGCCTCCTGCACGCCCCCCACTGGGAATCGAACCCACACCCCAGACATGTGACCTGACTGGGAATTGAATCGTGCCCTCCTGAGTCATAGATCGATGCTCAACCACTGAGCCACACCAGCCGGGCCTTCATGGGTTGTTGTCTTTTTTTTTTTTTTTTAATATATTTTATTGATTTTTTACAGAGAGGAAAGGAGAGAGATAGAGAGTTAGAAACATCGATGAGAGAGAAACATCGATCAGCTGCCTCCTGCACACCTCCCACTGGGGATGTGCCCGCAACCCAGGTAGATGCCCTTGACCGGAATCGAACCTGGGACCCTTCAGTCCACAGGCCGATGCTCTATCCACTGAGCCAAACCGGCCCTGGCGGGTTGTTGTCTTTTTAAAGAAAAGAAAAGGTAGCTTGACAGAAAGGGGTACAAGAGAGGGGTGAGGGTACTGAACGAAAAGGATAAGGCAAAATGTGCAGTAAGCAATTTTAACATAAAGCACATGTTCCAATTGAGAAAAGAGGCCAGACTGAGATGAATAAGCATCCTGCACAGACCACGTCATTCAGCTGTGTTTGTATATTCAGTGTTTATTTGCTGCTACTCGATGACGCAAAACATGAACGTGTTCAGGAAAATGGAATACAAACCGGTATGACCTCAATTAAATTGACATCGTTCTCCTACCTACTCACCCATCACATAGGAACTTATTTGCATCACGGAAACAAATGTGGTAGCAGAACAGAGGGTATCTTTCCCCACTCTATTTTTTTTTTCACCTTTGAAAAAATAACCTTTTGAAGACTGATGTGTTTTTCATGTTAATGTCGTTAAACTTATCAATCCTTTCCTTTATAGCTAATGCTTTTGGTGTCTTGAAGAAATTTTTTCCAAGACCCCTGGGGAGAGGCTATGTTCTTTTTAAAAAGCATCACAGCTTTGCCTTTCATGCCTGATACTTCAATGCACTCAGATGGTTTAATTAGGGGACCTGGCGAGAGGTAGTGGTCTACTTTCCTTTTTTACCAAATGGCTACTCAGCATGATTTACTGAAACGACCATTACTTCCCCTCCCATCCACCACAGGGCTTCTGTCACAGAAACTTACATAGAATTGTCGGTGCAAGACTGGGTACCCATCACCGGGCTCTCCTGCACATCCCACCTACCTCCTGACCTGACCACCCCTGCACCATTGACGGGGTAACTACGTTTCATGATAAATCTTGGGATTTATAGAGCAAGTCTATTGATTTTGTATCCATTTGTTTTTGTTGTTCCACTTATCTGTGCGTTCACTGGTTGCTTCTTTGTGCCCTGACCACAGATCAAACCCACAAACTTGGCATATTGGGACGATGCCCTCACCAACTGAGCTACCTGGCCAGGGCCAACCTTGTTTTTTTCTATGCATAGCCTTTTCCATCTAAATTCTGGAACCAAATAAACAAGCTAAAAATGTTGGGATTTTTATGGAGTTAGATTGAATCTATTAATCAATTTGAGAAGGACTGATATCTTTGCCATATTGCATCTACAAGCAAGAAATCTCTGCCAATATATTTAGACCTTCAATGTACCTTAATTTTACCTTACAGAGGTCTTTATAGTTCTTTAAGGATTAATTTCTAAGTATTTCAAATTTTTATGATATTATAAAGGGTATCTTTTTATAAACTTCCATCTTGTTGATGGTATAAAAGAAGGTAATTGTGGGAACTCCTTTGGTCGCTGTATTCCGATATCATTTACCTACAACAAAATTCACTAATTCTAACAGTACAATTCTGTGAGTTTTGGGAACCATCACAATTGATAAGGGAAATGAGAAAAACGTATCATATTTCTCCAGTGAGAATTAAAGGTTAACAATTTGACACAGAGATGCTACCGATTTGAAGGAATCTACTGATAGCAATGGAAGGCAAGAGCAGGAAACACCGCAAAGTAGAATCAAAGATTAAAGCTGGCGTTTCCAGGGACCAGGACAGAGGCGTGTGGGGAGCGGTGGTCACCACCTGCTCAGTCTTCCCTGCAGCTGTTCCCACAATTCAGTGCGTGGTCAAGTCCTGCCTGCTAACACTGGTCTTCCTTGCAAATACAATATTATTAAGATCAGGTGCATTTGTACACTATGTAATTCTGTGAGCAGTGCTCCCAAAATACTACAACTTTGAAGGCTAAAGGAGTCCTTAAATGGACAGTTTTGGCGTGTGAATCTGGTAATGACGTTAGCCGTACTGGCGTTCTGAATGTTATCATACTGTCTCACTGCATTCTCTGGCACTTTCCACGGTCTGAGTATTAGCTACAAGTTCCCGTGCTTTGCAAATAGTCTAACAGGAGAGGTGCAGAGAGAAGATGCGGAAATCGATGTGGAACACGCCAACCCGATTCAGAAACTGCTCTAAAATCTGAAGTAGAAGCAACGTGGAGTTCAAAGGCAACACCACAATCAGGGCCAGGAGACAGAATATTTTCATCATTAAAACAGAAAGCAAGCTCAGATGAACGGCCAATGACTGACGCCCAATTTTAAGACGCCCTTGGATACCCGCTTCCAATCTGGGGAATATCAACAAAAGACAGAGAAATTTATGTCTAGAATATCTGTTACCCAACAAAGGGGAGGCAAGCAGATAATGTAACTGATACTTTGTGTGCTTTACAATTTCATTGTAGGAGTGAAAAAGTCACGTAGTAAATATGTGTGATGGTTCCTTTCAAATTTTATCATTATTTTTATTTTGTGTTAACGCTCCCCCTTTTTAAGTTGATCTATTTGCAAATGGCACTCTCAGGCCACTTAAAAGTGTTACTAATAATCGTGCTACAGGAGTCCACAATGGTAACAGACCAGCAGATTCATTGTCCTTTTCTCTCTTTAAGCACATGGAGCTCTCGGGAGAAGCCACCCCGCCCCGCGGTGCTTGGAGCCGTCATTACGGTCATAACGGTCACCTGCCGCAGTCATTTCGGGTCCCAAGGTACTTGGTTCAGCTGGCACTTTTATCGCAATCAACCAAAAATTACCCTGTGATTAAACTGTGATGCCACTTCTGGTCCTGAATTACAAACACCCGACTTCCCACTGGCTGGCACCTGGCACTGAACTGAGCCCAAGAACACAACCAAAACCAAGTCTAAAATTCCTTCCCACGGGGCCTGTCCCCCGGGGCCACGGCCAGTGCCAATGCTGTATCAGCCAGGGTCCAAGCAGGAGAGAGAAACCGCATGGTAACCCGAACAAGGACAGCTTAATATAAAGAATTATTAACCGCTAGAGGCCCGATGCGCAAAAGTCATGCAAGAGTAGGCCTTTCTTCCCCCGGCTGCTGGCACCAGCTTCCCTCTGGCACCCGGGACCCGGGCTTCCCTCACAGCCCCGGTTTCGTCCAGAAGGACATCCAGTCTAATTAGCATGTAACGCTTTTATTATTATAGATTCCCGAGGAGCTAAGAGGGAGTAAAAGGGAATGCTAAAGCATACCGCCCTGGAGCTGAGGGAGAACACCCAAGTGAGGAACAAACTTGGAAGAGCCCGCCCGGCCTGGCTCAGTGCTTGAGCTTTGACCCATGAACCAGGAGGTCACAGTTCCATTCCCGGTCAAGGGCGCATGCCTGGTTTGTGGGCTTGATCCCCAGGAGGAGGCGTGAAGGAGGCAGCCGATCAGTGATTCTCTCTCATCATTGATGTTTCTCTCTCTCCCTCTCTTTGAAATTAATAAAAATATATTTGAGGGGGAAAAAAATCTTGGAAGAGAGGGACACTCCCAGCCTGGGAACCGGACCTCATTGGAGAAGGAGTGGCTCCCCGTCCTTGGGAGGCGGCGGCAGGGAAATGTCTGCTGGGCTCTGGATGAAACTGACAAGCCAGCTCCCTGTGGTGGCAGCAGGGAGTGGTGTGTGGAAGGTGCTAGTAATTTACTAGAGAACCAGCTGGGATGCTGGCTGGACTTGCCAGATCCTACTGGAAAACCACATGCGGGGAGATTAATGAAATGTGGGGAGCAGCTGGGGTGCCCACGGAACGCGTCAGGAAGCAGAGAAGTCACTGGTGCACCGTGCAGCTCACAAAGCCACCTGGGAAGGTGTTGCTGATTCGCTGCTGGGAAGCCCACAGCTGCACCCCCACTCCACCCCCACCCCACCAGCCTCTGGGAAGCTGCCTGCTGGTGCGGGGCTGACATTGCAGAGTGTCGTTTTGCAGGCAGGATGGGGGGAAAGACACTAGCAACTTCCTTCCTTTCTTGTGGCGAATAGTTCAGTCACAAGCATGTTCGCTGGACCCTTTGGGGCTGGCTTAACTGCCTTTGCAAACACGCCTGCAGGAGCTGGTGCAAGGCGGGAGCCTGACCGGTCTCTGGGGCAGGCTGGTGAGAACTCTCCCGCCCGGGGCAGGCGCGGGGACTGGGTAAGCAAGCAGCTCCCGGAGCCCCTGGCCTGGCCTTGGGGGGTCTCAGGCGGCAATGCCCGGCTCAGGGCTCAGCAGCAGGCCGTGGCGCTTGGGCAGCCTGCTGGGCTCTGCCCGGCTCTCCCCCTGAGCGAGGCCCAGCATGCCCCCAGGCGGAGGGTGAGGAAACCAGAGGACCCCTTCGCGTGTCACGCTGCCTCTACTGCGGCGACTGGCAACTGCAGCGCCCATTCTCTTTCTCTGTCATTAGTTTTGCTGCTCCATTGCCTCAGATTTTGTCAGTGGAGAACCCCGAGGTGGCCCCCCTCTTTTTTTTTAAGTCCTTCTGATGTGTCCCCATCGTTTCTTAAGCATTTATGTACTTTCTGGTACAATGAGATGTTCCAAGCTCATCTTGTATTTCCCTTGCCCCACACCTGGAATCAGAATTTTCTCCACGAAGATCTGGTATTGTTTAGTGAAGGAATAATACTCAGAGACCCGATGGGGTTGCGGCCACCTCCATGAGCAAGCGAAGCGGTCCTGTGAGGATCTGAAAGGCTGCAGCTGTGTGGACCCTACGGATTAAAACTACATAAATTGTAGCTCCTTTCTAGGGCAAAACCTCACACTGAGGAGGAGGTGCAAAACTAGGACACAAGTAAATTAGAAAGAGGATCCAAGGAAAAGTGGCAGTGGGCAGCAGAAGGTACGAGCACTTATTTTATTAACTTGTTTTAACAAGGACGACGGAGCTCTAGAGCTAGGAACCTAAAAATGCTACCCCGAGACACCCGGTGCAGGCAAAGCACCAAGTTCCTTACAAGGGAACGATAATCAGATTATTTCAGAATTTTTCAGAACAATGCTTTACAGCAGAAGACAATTGACTAACATAATTAAGACAGGCCAGGAAAGAAAATATGAGCCCGACATTGCATACCCGTCCAAACAAACGTGAAGTATAAAAACCACAAGCAAAGGGCGGCGGTGGTCTAGTGGGCCTTCCTAGCAAGTCTAGCGGAGAACAAGCTTTAGATAACCGTGATCACTGAAGGAACAGCAATAGGCCTGGCGAGTGTGGCTCAGTTGGTTGAGCACTGTCCTGTGCACCGAAAGGTTGCCGGTTCGATTCACAGTCATGGCACATACCCGGGTGGTGGGCTCGGTCCCCGGTGGGGGGTGAGCACGAGGCAGCCCATGGGTGTTTCACTCTCACACTGATGTCTCTCTCACAGGGATGTTTCTCTGTCTGAGGCTCAGGAGGATTCTAGCAACTAGGAAGATGCTAGCATCAGGATTTTGAACTCCATCTTGCCTAGCTCTTTGCCACTACATAATGCTATTTGTTTTTAAGTCCAAGCAAGAAAGAGTGAGGTCTAAGGCAGTGCAGAGGGATAGATGTTTAAGAAGCATCATTGGAAAAGCCTGATAACGGACTGGGCATTGTGTGAGATTAATAACAAGAAAAAGAAATCGAGAATTTCAGAGCCATTACAAAAGCAGGCATCCACAAGGAGTTAAAGATAGTGAAAAGGAAAACAGCCAAGTGTCCTTTTATGCCTTCGTATTGTTTACTGCTTTTTACTCTTCACCAGACCCGCGCTAACTACAGCTAACACTTAGGCATACATGATTTCTTGTTTTGTGTTTTATCAAAAAACCCAAAACACCGTTACAACAGCAACGAGGTCCTACGAAAACCATTAAGACTGGAGTAGAAACACCAACATCAATGTCAACATTCAAAATGGTTGCCAAAAGGAAGGCACTGCGTTTTTCTTCCTTTTTTTTCCCTTTGGGGATGGGGCAGACTTTAAAATTAGCAAAGTCCTCGTAGTCAATACAAAAATGTCTCCGTGTGCGAGGCACTGAGAGCACAGAAGTCTTGTTCCTGCTCAGGCTGTAGAAATTGATTTATAAGAATAAAATCTAGTTAGCAGCATGTACACAGATTGACTTTTCAAAAGGTCCCAATATAGAATCTTTGGGTTTTTCTACTTTGAAAAACAAAACCCCTGAAAGTTCTCCGAAAAATGTTTCTCTTTCTCCAACTTTTGTTGCATTCCAGGGCTGAACCTTAGTCTTCACAATTTCATATGAGATGCTCTACTCTAATTCGTTCTAGATCAGCCGTGGGCAAACTACTGCCCGTTTGAAATGAATAAAACTAAAAAAAAAAAAAAAAGACCGTACCCTTTTATGTAATGATGTTTACTTTGAATTTATATTAGTTCACACAAACACTCCATCCATGCTTTTGTTCCGGCCCTCCGGTCCAGTTTAAGAACCCATTGTGGCCCTGGAGTCAAAAAGTTTGCCCACCCCTGGCTAGATGTTCGGCCAGTTACACAAGGATCTATTTCTTTTATTCCATTTCCTACTTACACGGAATGGTTCTCAAGTAGAGATTATCTCTGATCACTTGCTGCAGTTTGTGGTCAATCGATCCTTTCTGAAACTGAAGACTCAGGTAATGTCGCAAATCTTTGTTAATGACTTTGCCTAGAAAAGAAAACAAAAGAAGACAAAATGCGTTAACTGTTAGCTCTCCAGTTAAATATTGACTAAATACCCTTACACAATAAACAGAAAATGAACAATAAAGAGAAATCAGCATATTTTACTAAAAGCAAGATAACCAACACCAAATTATTAAAGGCACTCTAATTAAAATATATACATGATTTTACAAGGTAGGGGAGGGAGATGGCATAGGTCAGAGAAGACAACAAGGTAAGTTCACTCGGTCCCATGGCTTTAAATACCATCTATATGCTGACAACTTCCAAATTCTTATCACCTCTCTATTCAAATATGTTCTCGCCACACCGACCATGTTTCTGACCTTTGAAAAGGCCAAATGAGTCCTACCTCCGTGCCTTCTCTCACTAAATTGAACAGGCATTTTCCATCCACTTACTTGACTCCGCGATACAATGTGAATAAAACAAGAGCGGAAGATTCTTTTCTTATTTGTGGGGGGAAGGGGAAATAAAAAGAGGAATATTAGGGGGGGGTCTCCAAGAAATAGTAAGTAGAAAAATGGAGGACTGAAGACATCTGATAGCAATGAATTTTTAGTGAGGCTGAACTTAAAATGAAACCCAAAGCAATCCATACTGTTGAGTGGAAAGACCTCAGATAATTAGGAAAGAGCAATGCTAAGACAAAATAGATTATCTTACTGAATAAGAAATAACTGCTTAATTAAAATGTACTCTTATTTTTTAAATATATTTTTATTGATTTCAGTGAGGAAGGGAGAGGGAGAGAGAGATAGAAACATCAATGATGAGAGAGAATCATTGATGGGCTGCCTCCTGCATGCCCTGACCGGGAATCGAGCCCACAATCTGGGCATGTGCCCTGACAGGGAATCGAACTGTGACCTCCTGGTTCCTAGGTTGACATTCAACCACTGAGTCACGCTGGCCGGGCTGCTCTTTGTTTTATTTGAACAGCATAGTTATGACAAGGTTAGATAAATCAAAAGGTTACTACAGATCAGTTCATTCTTTTCACCCTATGAGAGGGTGCTAATATAAGCAGGAAATCAGAGTCCTTCTGAAGTTAGAGATAATATTCAGATCCTTAACTGAATACACACAAACCCAAATGTCCCTGTTTTGCCAAAAATAGATGCTAAGTAAGCCGGGAACTTTTATGATGAAAGAAAACCTGAAAGCCCTAGCCGGTTTGGCCCAGTGGATAGAGCGTTGGCCTGTGGACTGAAGGGTTTGGAGTTCAATTCCATCAAGGGCACATGCCCGGGTTTCGGGCTTGATCCCCGGTAGGAAGCGTGCAGGAGGCAGCCAATCAATGATTCTCTCTCATCATTGATGTTTCTATCTCTCCGTCTCTTCCTCACTGAAATCAATAAAATATAAAAAAAAAAACACCACACAGTAAAATAAAAAAAAAAGGAAAAGAAAAGAAAAAGAAAAACAAAGATATTCACCGGGAGAACATAGAAGAATCCCTAATCCCACAGATTGCTTCTGCAGGCACGTAGGGGCCCCATCAACTGGAGTCCAATCCAGATGGGAGCATATTATTTCATTTGTTATTTATATCATAGTACTTGTTTGTCACTGGGTAGAAGGAACCCCTAATTCATAATCAATACCACACAATCTCATTGCTTACAGAATAAAAACATATCCAACAACGGGTTCAACAAGTCAATTATAAAGGTTAACCAATTATATGGGTTGGTGTTCCTTAAGATTAATAATTTATAATGAACTACACTAGCTACAGCACTCATCATAGACTTCCTTGCTTCAGGAAACCAAAAGAATTTTCAGAAGGGGACAGAATGTTACTGTTGCCTCTTCGATATGATTCTAGGAAAAATTTTTAAGTATAAATAACTTGTACAGGCAGATGACTAGAGTGACGTGAGGGCCAGCCAAGAGTCACTGCAGAAGAACCTATATTATCAAATGTACATGAACTTCTGCCTTCTGTGTAGGGAGCATTTCACAGAAACTTGATATGTCAAGGGCATGAAACACATCCACCCGGGGTTAATGTAGTTGTCGTGAAACAAATAAGAAAAAAGGTTCCTCACAGTGGCATTCTCACCCAGCCAGCCTTTGCTCTAGGCCCTGAGCTCGTCCACTGACTTCTAAGTGATTTATAAGTCAGGCTGATTTATGGAAGTTACAAGCAGATCTATATATCTAAAATACAGCTCAGGTGGGGAAAGGCCTACAACTGAAATTTCAATCCTATAAATCCAGGCACGCTAGTTTTGATATATAAATCCTTAGTCAAAAGAACTCTGAAGTAGAAATCCACGCTTTCTGAATGTATGCAAATTAATACCCACTCCTGGGTCTCTCTGAGGCATTGGTGTAGGGACACTGATTACTACTTAGATAAACCCTGTGGCATGCTGGCTTAGGTGTGGCCACAGGAGCAGCTGTACATCAGCCTAAATGCCAACATGTCATTGTCTTTCCATGAGGATAGTCTAGCAAGTGGTTGGCAAAGTCTCCTGAAGTCGAGATACAACATGTCTTTAGCATTCTCCAATCCAGTCATTACAAAATCAAATTAAAAAAAATAGGAAAATGGGGTCTGTTTGACATGTCTTATTCTTATAAATTCACATCGATTCGTGGTGATCATCCTATTCTTTTCTAAGCACTTACAACACTGTATTTTTAAAAAATAATCTCTTCAAATTTTGATTGCAGAGAAAGACAAAAAAACATATGATTTCACTTATATGTTGGATCTAAAGAACAAAATAAATGAACAAAACTGAAACAGACTCAGACTCAGAGAGCTAGCTGGTGGCTGCCAGAGGGGAGGGAGGTTGGGGGCCTGGATGAAAAAGGTGAAGGGATTAAAAAGTATAGATTGGCAGTTACAGAATATTCAAAGATATGTAAAGTGCAGCACAGGGAATAGTGTTAACAATCCTATCTAATAAAGATGGAATATGCAAACTGACCACCACACCATCACAAAGATGGCAGCGCCCATAGCCACAAGATGGTAGCACCTAGTC